CCCTCCCCTGCTGCCATGGCAGCGGAACGCGAGCGCACAGGGCCCACAGTGTCTGAGGATGGACGTTGGCGCAGAAAGGCAGAGACCAGCTGACTACATAGGTGGTTTTTATAGTACGTTATTTTTGGCCTCCCTCTCAGCAGGTGTGAAAAAGGCCACCATTTTTGAACGGTAGCGAGGGTCCAACAAGGTGGACAGCCAAAAGTCATCCCTCTGCTCTGTCTGATGGTTATTATTCGGCTGTCGGTACGCAAGCAAGCGAGCATGCTATGGGCCATTTGTGCCAAGGAATGCGAGGGACTCCCTGCCTCCATCTCCACAGCATACTGCCACGGTGCGTCTGGGTCCTCTGTCTCCTCTTCCTCCTCCTCTACCAGATGCTCCTGCTCCTCCACTCCTGTCCGCTGAGTGGAAAAACCACCCATTTCACTCAATAATTCCTGAGCACCAATGTCCTCCTCTACCTCCTCCTCTTCTTCCTGTCCTGTCCTGCCCCCACAGGGGTCATGTGGCGTTGAGATCTGTGCGCCACGTCTACCGCACCCTGACCAGCCATTGTTAACAGCATTTGTTCCAGGACGTGCAACAGAGGAATGACGTCGTTCATCCCATAGTCCTGCCGACTCACGAATAGCGTGGCCTCCTCAAAGGGCCTGAGCAAGCGCAGGTGTCACGCATGAGCTGCCAATGGCTGACATCTAAGTTACACAGGAGTACCTTTATCCGCTTTTAACATCAGGAAATCTGTGATGGCCTTTTGCTGTTCGTAAAGGCGGTCTAACATATGTAGGGTTGAATTCCACCTTGTTGCAACGTCACAGCATGAGGAGTCGGTACGGGGGCCCATGGCAGATTACGGGCCTGGCAGCAGCAATGGGAGGCCCGTAATCTGCCAGCACCCTATGAAAAAAAATGGAACACACCAGCAGTGTGTGAGGAGACCTGAAAGTGGCACATGGCAGAGTGTGGCGATGGAGACAGCAGCAATGGGAGGCCGTACAGGGACCCATGACAGACTCTGGACCTGGCAGCAGCATGAGGAGGCGGTATATAGGGGCCCATGGCAGATTAGGGGCCTGGCAGCAGCTATGGGAGGCCCGTAATCTGCCAGCACCCTATGTCAAAAAATTGGAACACACCAGCAGTGTGTGAGGAGACCTGAAAGTGGCACATGGCAGAGTGTGGCGATGGAGACAGCAGCAATGGGAGGCCGTACAGGGACCCATGACAGACTCTGGACTTGGCAGCAGCATGAGGAGGCGGTATAGGGGCACCCATGGCAGATTAGGGGCCTGGCAGCAGCTATGGGAGGCCCGTAATCTGCCAGCACCCTATGTCAAAAAATTGAACACACCAGCAGTGTGAGGAGACCTGAAAGTGGCACACATGGCATGAGACACAGCTGGACCTGGCTCTGGCAGCATGCAGCAGCATGAGGAGGCGGTACAGGGGCCCATGGCAGATTAGGGGCCTGGCAGCAGCTATGGGAGGCCCGTAATCTGCCAGCACCCTATGACAAAAAATTGAACACACCAGCAGTGTGAGGAGACCTGAAAGTGGCACATGGCATGAGACACTGTGGCCTGGCAGCAGCATGAGGAGGTGGTACAGGGGACCCCATGGCAGATTATCAGGGGGCCCATGGGGGCCTGGCAGCAGCTATGGGAGGCCCGTAATCTGCCAGCACCCTATGTCAAAAAATTGAACACACCAGCAGTGTGAGTGAGGAGACCTGAAAGTGGCACATGGCAGAGTGTGGCGATGGAGACAGCAGCAATGGGAGGCCGTACAGGGACCCATGACAGACTCTGGACTTGGCAGCAGCATGAGGAGGCGGTATAGGGGCCCATGGCAGATTAGGGGCCTGGCAGCAGCTATGGGAGGCCCGTAATCTGCCAGCACCCTATGTCAAAAAATTGGAACACACCAGCAGTGTGTGAGGAGACCTGAAAGTGGCACATGGCAGAGTGTGGCGATGGAGACAGCAGCAATGGGAGGCCGTACAGGGACCCATGAGAGACTCTGGACCTTGGCAGCAGCATGAGGAGGCGGTATAGGGGCCCATGGCAGATTAGGGGCCTGGCAGCAGCTATGGGAGGCCCGTAATCTGCCAGCACCCTATGTCAAAAAATTGAACACACCAGCAGTGTGTGAGGAGACCTGAAAGTGGCACATGGCAGAGTGTGGCGATGGAGACAGCAGCAATGGGAGGCCGTACAGGGACCCATGAGAGACTCTGGACTTGGCAGCAGCATGAGGAGGGCGGTATAGGGGCCCATGGCAGATTAGGGGCCTGGCAGCAGCTATGGGAGGCCCGTAATCTGCCAGCACCCTATGTCAAAAAATTGAACACACCAGCAGTGTGAGGAGACCTGAAAGTGGCACATGGCATGGCGATGGAGACAGCAGCAATGGGTGGGCCGTACAGGGACCCATGCACTCTGGACCTGGCAGCAGCATGAGGAGGCGGTACAGGGGCCCATGGCAGATTAGGGGCCTGGCAGCAGCTATGGGAGGCCCGTAATCTGCCAGCACCCTATGTCAAAAAATTGAACACACCAGCAGTGTGAGGAGACCTGAAAGTGGCACATGGGCAGAGTGTGGCGATGGAGAGCAGCAATGGGAGGCCGTACAGGGACCCATGAGAGACTCTGGACTGGCAGCAGCATGAGGAGGCGGTATATAGGGGCCCATGGCAGATTAGGGGCCTGGCAGCAGCTATGGGAGGCCCGTAATCTGCCAGCACCCTATGTCAAAAAATTGAACACACCAGCAGTGTGAGGAGAGACCTGAAAGTGGCACATGGCAGAGTGTGGCGATGGAGACAGCAGCAATGGGAGGCCGTACAGGGACCCATGAGAGACTCTGGACTTGGCAGCAGCATGAGGAGGCGGTATAGGGGCCCATGGCAGATTAGGGGCCTGGCAGCAGCTATGGGAGGCCCGTAATCTGCCAGCACCCTATGTCAAAAAATTGAACACACCAGCAGTGTGTGAGGAGACCTGAAAGTGGCACATGGCAGAGTGTGGCGATGGAGACAGCAGCAATGGGAGGCCGTACAGGGACCCATGAGAGACTCTGGACCTGGCAGCAGCATGAGGAGGCGGTACAGGGGCCCATGGCAGATTAGGGGCCTGGCAGCAGCTATGGGAGGCCCCGTAATCTGCCAGCACCCTATGTCAAAAAATTGAACACACCAGCAGTGTGTGAGGAGACCTGAAAGTGGCACATGGGCAGAGTGTGGCGATGGAGACAGCAGCAATGGGAGGCCGTACAGGGACCCATGACAGACTCTGGACTTGGCAGCAGCATGAGGAGGCGGTATAGGGGCCCATGGCAGATTAGGGGCCTGGCAGCAGCTATGGGAGGCCCGTAATCTGCCAGCACCCTATGTCAAAAAATTGAACACACACCAGCAGTGTGAGGAGACCTGAAAGTGGCACATGGCATGGCATGAGACAGCAGTGGGAGGGTACAGCAGCATGAGACTCTGGCTGGTAGCAGCATGGGGCCCATGGCAGATTAGGGGCCTGGCAGCAGCTATGGGAGGCCCGTAATCTGCCAGCACCCTATGTCAAAAAATGGGAACACACCAGCAGTGTGAGGAGACCTGAAAGTGGCACATGGCAGAGTGTGGCGATGGAGACAGCAGCAATGGGAGGCCGTACAGGGACCCATGAGAGACTCTGGACTTGGCAGCAGCATGAGGAGGCGGTATAGGGGCCCATGGCAGATTAGGGGCCTGGCAGCAGCTATGGGAGGCCCGTAATCTGCCAGCACCCTATGTCAAAAAATTGAACACACCAGCAGTGTGTGAGGAGACCTGAAAGTGGCACATGGCAGAGTGTGGCGATGGAGACAGCAGCAGCAATGGGAGGCCGTACAGGGACCCATGAGAGACTCTGGACTTGGCAGCAGCATGAGGAGGCGGTATAGGGGCCCATGGCAGATTAGGGGCCTGGCAGCAGCTATGGGAGGCCCGTAATCTGCCAGCACCCTATGTCAAAAAATTGAACACACCAGCAGTGTGAGGAGACCTGGAACCTGCAAAGTGGCACATGGAGACAGCAGCAATGGGAGACAGGGACCCATGGACCTGGGCAGCAGCATGAGGAGGCGGTACAGGGGCCCATGGCAGATTAGGGCCTGGCAGCAGCTATGGGAGGCCCGTAATCTGCCAGCACCCTATGTCAAAAAATTGAACACACCAGCAGTGTGGAGGAGACCTGAAAGTGGCACATGGCAAGAGTGTGGCGATGGAGACAGCAGCAATGGAGGCCGTACAGGGACCCATGACAGACTCTGGACTTGGCAGCAGCATGAGGAGGCGGTATAGGGGCCCATGGCAGATTAGGGGCCTGGCAGCAGCTATGGGAGGCCCGTAATCTGCCAGCACCCTATGTCAAAAAATTGAACACACCAGCAGTGTGTGAGGAGACCTGAAAGTGGCACATGGCAGAGTGTGGGCGATGGAGACAGCAGCAATGGGAGGCCGTACAGGGACCCATGAGAGACTCTGGACTTGGCAGCAGCATGAGGAGGCGGTATAGGGGCCCATGGCAGATTAGGGGCCTGGCAGCAGCTATGGGAGGCCCGTAATCTGCCAGCACCCTATGTCAAAAAATTGAACACACCAGCAGTGTGTGAGGAGACCTGAAAGTGGCACATGGCAGAGTGTGGCGATGGAGACAGCAGCAATGGGAGGCCGTACAGGGACCCATGAGAGACTCTGGACTTGGCAGCAGCATGAGGAGGCGGTATAGGGGCCCATGGCAGATTAGGGGCCTGGCAGCAGCTATGGGAGGCCCGTAATCTGCCAGCACCCTATGTCAAAAAAATTGAACACACCAGCAGTGTGAGGAGACCTGAAAGTGGCACATGGCATGAGACACTGGGAGGCCGTGGACCTGGCAGCAGCATGAGGAGGCGGTACAGGGGCCCATGGCAGATTAGGGGCCTGGCAGCAGCTATGGGAGGCCCGTAATCTGCCAGCACCCTATGTCAAAAAATTGAACACACCAGCAGTGTGTGAGGAGACCTGAAAGTGGCACATGGCAGAGTGTGGCGATGGAGACAGCAGCAATGGGAGGCCGTACAGGGACCCATGAGAGACTCTGGACTTGGCAGCAGCATGAGGAGGCGGTATAGGGGCCCATGGCAGATTAGGGGCCTGGCAGCAGCTATGGGAGGCCCGTAATCTGCCAGCACCCTATGTCAAAAAATTGAACACACCAGCAGTGTGAGGAGACCTGAAAGTGGCACATGGCAGAGTGTGGCGATGGAGACAGCAGCAATGGGAGGCCGTACAGGGACCCATGAGGAGACTCTGGACTGGCAGCAGCATGAGGAGGAGGCGGTATAGGGGCCCATGGCAGATTAGGGGCCTGGCAGCAGCTATGGGAGGCCCGTAATCTGCCAGCACCCTATGTCAAAAAATTGAACACACCAGCAGTGTGTGAGGAGACCTGAAAGTGGCACATGGCAGAGTGTGGCGATGGAGACAGCAGCAATGGGAGGCCGTACAGGGACCCATGAGAGACTCTGGACCTGGCAGCAGCATGAGGAGGCGGTATAGGGGCCCATGGCAGATTAGGGGCCTGGCAGCAGCTATGGGAGGCCCGTAATCTGCCAGCACCCTATGTCAAAAAATTGAACACACCAGCAGTGTGTGAGGAGACCTGAAAGTGGCACATGGAAGTGTGGCGATGGAGACAGCAGCATGGGAGGCCGTACAGGGACCCATGACAGACATCTGGACTTGGCAGCAGCATGAGGAGGCGGTATAGGGGCCCATGGCAGATTACGGGCCTGGCAGCAGCTATGGGAGGCCCGTAATCTGCCACACCCTA